TCCTTGTGGCCTCCTCTGGACTTGCTCCAACAGCTCCATGTCCTTCTTACATTGAGGATACCAGAACTGAGTGCAGCTTCTTATTTTCAGCTTAGAGGTAGAAAAGCCCTTTGCAGCTCGAAGTAGATACCGTCCCAGTGGGGATGCTGTTGGAATGGTGTCTACTTTTCTCCCTGGGAAAGTGGGGTGGATGGGGAGCTCCAAGGGGCTCCAGGGCTGGTGGAGCATGGCATGGGTGGGTTGGGTGGTGGGATTTTGAAGGTGCAACATGGGGACGCACAACCTGGATGTAAGAGTTGTGTGTGGATTTGAGCTCTTGAGCTCTTGGAGAGGCCTACAAGGATGCAGAAAAGGGACCTTCACCAGGGCCTGTAGTCATAGGACAAGGGGTGATGGGTTTAAATTGAAACAGGGGAGGTTTAGATTAGATGTTGAGGGTGGTGAGGCGCTGGCACAGGTTGAGAAGAGACTTCTCAGTCTCTGCCCATGCTCTTTCCTACCGTTCTTGCTCTGTGGCTCCAGTACCGGCAGGGGCTGCTGCTGTGCAGGGAAAGGGCTCCCGGCACCAACGTGCTGCATCTCCAGCCCGTTAGCGGCCGTGCTCAGAAAGCCCTTCTGCTGCCTCGGCGTGGGGTGGCAGAGGGGAGCGGTGCTCACCCGGGACATCATCTCCTCTCCCCGAGGATGCGTTGGGATGAAGCACATCCAGAACAGGAGCTCCAGGGATGACTGTGCTGCCTGTCCCCAAATCTGGGGTTCTTGGCGGGATAAAAAGGCCCCTGAGGGATGTGGTGGGAGCAAGGGAAAGCCTGGGGATCCTCCTCGGTGACACAGACCCTCCTGCCCAGCCCTGAAGGCAGCGTGATGCTCTGGCTGGGGCTTGGGAAGGGTTAAACTCCACTGCTCCCGGCTGCCAGACCCTGGTGCGCCCCTGTTATAGCAGGAGGAGACCAGAGCAGGTTTGGAATGGGCTTGGGGTGGCTGCAGCATCCCGGTGTCACTTGTTTCCCCATTGTGTTCCTGAGGCTGCAGCATCCACAGGGCTGGGGTTGTTGCACTAAATGAGGGTGGTCATTCTTCTGCCCTGAGCTGGGACCTTTTGGTGTCTAAAGGCTTTTAGAAATGAATTTGTTTCATCTGGTCAATGCCCCCTGTAAGGCCACCCTCCCCATCATGCTTAAGCTCTGGGGAGTTGTATTTACATCGATGTCCATCCCAGTGAGCATCCACACCTTTGCAGGAGCAGCCCATCTCCTCTGATGCTTTTGTGTTCCAGCATCTGATCTAAGCTCTACCCTCACCTAATGGAGTGGGTATCACCGAGGCAAAAGCCTGCTTTTGCTTCCCCAAAGTAGACACCACCCCCAGCGTGGTCATCACATGCTCCAGGTCTCCCTGACATGGGTTTGGGTGAGGTTTGGACATGGGTGTCTGGACCTTACTCCAGCAAACCCTTTGGTTGCTGATTCTCTGGGCCAGCAAGGGATGGATGCCTGGGATTCCCTGCGAGGGGAAAGATGAATTAAGAAAGGAAAGAGAGAGCTGATGCTAACAAAGCTCTTTTGTGCATCCTAACGGGGGTTCATCGTGCCTATGTGGGTGTCCCAGGCCACTTGGAGAACAGGGGAGGTAAATTTTCCCTAATGGCACTTCATGGTTTTTCAGGACACAACACTAAATCCCACTTGCTAATCCCATTAGTGCTTCGGGATAACAATTAGTGCATTAAAGAGGCAGCTTCTTCTCTTCCCCCTTTTCTCCACCAGAGGTGTGCTCAAATGTAGCTGTTTATCAGGCTGGATGTGATGGGTAACGCTTTGCCTGGCAGAGGAAAAAGTGTCTTTTTGGGCTGTTATCAGTTAGTTCCTATTTTATGCCTGTGTCCATGCAATGCATGTGTATTTTGGGGTGGGTTTGCTGCTTTTTAGTGTCATAATTGTGGTGTCTGGGACCTCTGTGCTCTCTGTAAGAGGGAAGTTTCCTCCTGACCTCAAACACCAAATGGAGCTCATTCTGAAACATGATTTCAAGCTTTCTCTTATCAGCCCCTTCTGGATTTAGCTGTTCCAGTGGGCTCTTGGTTTGCTTTGGATCGTGGCTTTCTGTTCCGTGTTTGTATCCCAGCATGGAAATATGGGTTAGAATTGGAGAGCTGGTAGTCTGGTGACCCCAAGTGCTGGGATGGATCTCCTGGGGTGATTTTGCGTCTAGATTTGCCCCCATCCTGCCTCTCTTCAGGCTGCTGTCTTGTGAGACCCATCTGAAACCCTCTCAAGAGGAAGGCTGGTGTCCCTCAGGCTGCTTTACCTGGTGAGCCCCATCTCGGGATGGGACAAAATGGGCTCTGGGGAGCCAAGGTAATAGCAAGAAGCTCTGTCCCTATGAGCTATGGGTTAGTATTGATGGAGAGAAGCTGTCAGGGCACTGTGGGGCTGCCCTACAGATTATTCCATCTCAGTGCAGGCACTAAGGTAAAACACCACCATATATTTGTGAGAGCAGAAGCAGCAACCGTGTCCTCTCTGGAGCAAGGCGACCATGTACCACTTGATTCTTGATGACAGCTCTTAAGTTTGCTTGTACCTTGTGTTTCTGAGCTTATTTCTAGGGTTTAATCCATTACTTTTGTGTGCCAAGACCTCCTGAAGCAGTGGTTAAGGTTTTCTGAGCTTAGAGCCTCAGGTTTTCCTGCATGGAGCCTCCAGCTGTTGACCGTAACTCTGGAGTATGGAACATTACTCCTAAAAAGATCCCCTGGCTTCCATAAATCCACAATCCATAAACATCCCATGAATGGCCTTGCAAGGGAAACAAAACATTTAGAGTGCTTGATAATATAATGCCCATTTACTACCTCATGAATTCCACGGGCCATTTAAATCCTTCATGGGTAGTTAATGATTATCCATCAGCAAGAAGTCAGGAGAAAAACCAGACTCTGAGTGGAAGGTCTTAAAAATACATCAGTTGGGGAGTAAAAGTCAAGCTGGTTAAGAGGGAGCCCAAGAGGGTGTGTGTTAACCCTTGAAGGGTGTGTGTAAACCAGCTTCTGGAAGCAAGATCTGCCCCAGGGTGTCCTGCCCCAATGGGTCATCTTCATCCTTAGGCCCATATAAAGGGGACCTGAGCCAAAAACCTCATCCCCTTCCCGGCTGTGGTTCCTTTTGCCACGCTGGTGTCTGACCAAACTCATGAGCTCCGTGGCTTTCAAAGAACAGCCTCTGGCAATCGGATGGGAAGAGGATCAGAGCATGTCAACAGTGGATTAAAGCAGCGTGACCCGGCAGAGCTGAGCCCAAGGGGATGCTGAGCTCTCCTCAGGGCTGACATGAAGCAGCTGCTGGAGACGACATGCTGTGTTAGTGGTGTACCCAGGGCAGGTTTGGGCTGGGATCAGGATCCTGCAGCTCAAGGCAGCTTTATTGTGGGTGTGTTTTCAATCAAGTCTCCTTATCCTGTATCATCACAATTGCATTCAAGGCGTGGGTACAGGTAGGGTTGGGTGCTCTGGTGCAAGACGTGTTCTGTTTATCCAAGCCCAGGTGATGGTTGACTTCCTTGTCTTTAATCTCAGTGATCGTGAGGGTGAGTTTTGGTTAGAGCATCTTCCAGTGCCTAAAGGGGCTCCAGGAAATCTGGAGAGGGGCTTTGGACAAGGGCCTGGAGGGACAGGACAAGGGCAATGGCTTTAACCTGCCAGAGGGGAGACTGAGAGACTGAGATGAGCTCTGAGGCAGAAGTTCTTCCCTGTGAGGGTGCTGAGGTGCTGGCACAGGGTGCCCAGAGAAGCTGTGGCTGCCCCATCCCTGGCAGTGTTCAAGGCCACGTTGGACACAGGGGCTTGGAGCAACCTGCTCTAGTGGAAGGGGCCCCTGCCTGTGGCAGGGATTGGAGCTGGAGGAGCTTTAAGGTCCCTTCAACCCAAACCAGGCTGGCATTCTGTAATGCTATCATATCCTGGATGGGTAAACTCAGATCTGGTGACAGTGCACTTATCCACTTCCTTATTTTCCTCTTGTATTATTTCCAACTCCAACTTGAAGCTTTCTGTATCGTGGGTGTTTTTCTCCATCCCATGTAACAGAAACTCCCTGAGAACAGGATATCTCCTGTGGCACTTGGCCAAGGCTGGTGTAGGATCCTACTTGGGGAATCTGGGCAGATGTGTAAAACTGAGTCATAGACTTACAGAAACCTGGGACCAGAGAAGTCTTCTCTACCATCCCTATCACACTGAGCAGCCTGTGGTTAGACTGTCCCTAGAGTTAATAGTCTAAGCTGGAATTCAATGTTACTGAGAGATAGGTCATTGATTCTGCTGCTCTGCAACCTTTATAATAATGATGTTTTCCCTTGTATCAATGTCAATCAACTCTTCTACCAGGTAGGTCAATTATTTGCTATTCCACACGGCTTGGATTTGAAAGAGCAGCATTGAGATGGATCTCATGCCTGGTGTGTCTGACATTTCCCAGGCTTGGAAAGGCAAGTGGGCTCTTG